GGTATGTGAAATATATATGAAAAAGAAATCTGCCGTGGCTGGTTTGGCTCAGCAGTTAGAGCATCAGCCTGTGGTCCGGAGAGACCCGGGTTCGGTTGCCACTAAGGGCACGTACCTCGGTTGCAGTTTGTCCCCGACCCTGGTTGGGTTGTGCGGATGGCAGCCACTTGATGTGTCCCTTTCTCGTCAATGTTTTTCTCTCTCTCTCCCTCCCACTCTATCTGAACAAAAAATGGAAAAATTTCCTCGGATGAGGTTTAAAAAAAAAAAAAATCGGTTGCCTTAGAACAGGAGTTCCTACATGCAAGATATAATAAATGTGTGTACATGTGTCTATAATGTATATAATTTCTCTAGATGGTCTGGAGAACACACTAACCAATTTTACTGTTCTCAGCCGCCTTAATACATAACTAAGGAGAATCTGTTACTTGGTGAAATTCTCCAGAAGAGCAAGCATTTGCTTTCAGTTCCCAGCATAAGATGCATTTCTTTCAATCCTCACCCGAGGATACTTTTCCATTTATCTTCAAATAGAGTGGGAGGGAGAGAGAGAGACATTGATGTACGAGAGACATACACCACCCCGACCAGGGCTGGGGACCAAACTGCAACCGAGGTATGTACCCTTGACCGGAATAAAACCTGTGACTCTTTGGTGCTCAGGCCAACGCTCATTCCACAAAGCCACACCGGCCAGAGCCAATGTTATATTTGTTTTAGATGTGAGATGCATTTTACTTTGGCAGTGGCAGTTAGGAATTTTCAAGATGTTTAAAGCAGCAGCCAACACAATTAAGGCCACAGTTGCCTCACTTTATCTGCTAGATTCTAGGAACAGTTTATGTCAGTCTGTGGAGGTGTGCTCAAGAGAATAATCTTTACTTTTTACTCCTTCTGATGGTCCATCTCACCCATGGATTTAAGGAGCCACAGGTCAGTTAATCTAATCTCTAGTCCAGAACTGATCCTCCTTTTGGCAGTTGTTACACCTGTTTGAGAGATAACTCACTGTCCCCAAAGGAAACCTATTGTTGGAGAGCTCTAATTGTTGGTAACACTTCCTTCTACTGCACCCAAATCAACCTCCTTCTTTGGCGGGGACAGGCCAGGCCCCAACCTATTAAGTGTTTCACTCTGAGTTGTTTGCTTTTGAGCTATAAACTGACTTTGTTTTCAGACAACCACTCTTTTCTCTCCAGCTTTAAAGATTTCTAGTTTAGGATTTCCTTTCTTGTTCTAATTGGCAATTTTTTTAAGTGTGTCTTCACTAAGTGTTAATGCCTCTTCAATCGCTAGGCATTTGGTGAATCTCAGCTTCACAAAACTCACCAATTTAGCCCTTCTCACGTTAGATATTTTTGTTGTTAATCCTACCCAAGGATATTTTTTCATTGATTTTTTAGATACAGTAGAAGGGAGGGAGGGAGGGAGGGAGGGAGGGAGGGAGGGAGGCACACCGATTGGCTGCCTCCTACACATGTCCAGACCAGAGCTGGGGATCAACCTGCAACTCAGGTACATGCAACCCAGGTATGTGCCCTTGATCTGGAATCAAACCCTCGACCTTTCTGTCCTCGGGCCGATGCTCTAACGGCTGAGCCAAACCAGCCAGAGCTCACACTGGATTTCTTTTTTTTTATCCTCACCTGAGGACATTCTTTTTTTTTGCATTTATCTTCAGATAGAAGGGAGAGAGATTTTGATTTTAATTTTTCCAAAGCTGATGTTTACAAGGATGGTTTTTCAATATATACTAATACTTTTTATTGTAAAATACATTTTTTATTTACCTATTTTTGAAAAATCATATGATGTGCTTTAAAGCTCCTTCCCAATTTTATCAGTAAGCAATTTCAGTATACACTTCTAAATCTTGAAAAAAAAAGACCAAATGCATTATCATGTGCAACAAAATTGACAATAATTCTTGTTCAAATTTCCCTGATTACCTCATAAACTTTTGTTTTTTTTCCAATTAGAAGCCAAATTCCAAGGTTTTTAGAGACACTGCCAGGAACTGGGAAGTAACCAATATATACATATTTTTTTCTATTATTTCAGTCTCACAAACTTTTAGTTTTTTTTCCCAAATCAGAATCCAAAGTAGAGTCATATTCATTTGGCTGACGTCTCTTAAGACTTTTACTCTATAGGTTCCCCTTTTTCCTTGCAATTTACTATTGAAAAAATTGAGTTACTCATCTTATGGTTTCACAGTCTGGAGTTTGCTATTTACATCCCCACGGTATAATCGAACATGTTCCTCTGTTCAAAGTTTCCTTTAAAAATACATATTTAGTCCGGCCGGTGTGGCTCAGTGGTTGAGCACTGACCCATGCACCAATAGGTCACTGGTTCGGTTCCTGGTGAGGACAAATACCCAGGTTGTAGGCCCGATCCCCAGTGGCGGACATGGAGGAGGCGGCCAATCGATGTTCTCTCTCATCAATGTTTCTATCTCCCTCCCTTTCCCTTCCTCGCTCTCTAAAATCAATAAATAAAATAAATAAAAATTAAAAAATACATATTTAAATAACATTTAAATAGTAGTATGGGTAGCATGTATAGGTAGTATAGTGGTTTTGGCAAAACTGTAAAAGGGATGGGTGGGTATGGGTTTGGAAAACACTGTTCTAAGCTGTCTCCTACATGCCAAATTATAAACCATATCCTCCCTGAAAGCTTTCTCTTCCATAAAACCCTGAAGTCCTGTGTGGAAACCTTTAAGGACTGAAGGTGAGCAGCCTCCCCCTCCACAAACTTCTAAGTAGAGATTTTGGTACCCACTGGATAATTCCTTCAAGATGTGGGCTTCCCCGATCTCCTCCAGACCCAAACAGACTGACTACCTTTGTCCACCTTCCCGTTCATTAACATCTCCATTAGGAGTTGTCCTGGGAAATAAAGACTGGAATGTGAGCCTGAATGTTTTGTCTCTTAGCGGCGCTGATAAAAAGATGAGTACAATAAATTTCTGAAATTCATTTTTAAATATGTTTTATTTTTTCCTCATTGATGCAGAAGATAGCTCACTGTAACATTAAGTCTTAAAGAAAAAAAAAACCAAAAAACACACAAAATAAAATCAGAAAGTAAAAACAGCCCAAAACAAAGAAAACATGCAACCATGAAAAAATTTTGTCAACAATCTAGACAGAAATTTAAGAGGCTTGGAAAAGGAATAAAATAATTCTACTTCAGTTAGTTCGCTTCTTGGAATTCATTAAGATTATTTGGTAGAAAAACTTTTTGTTGTAAGCTGATGGCTGCATCATTTAAGGGTAGGGGGAGACACAAAGAGGAGCCCAGTTCAGTGGGAGATGGGGCATTACTGATAAAGGGAGAAGAACTTATGTACATTTGGCAAGACTAAAGTTTTTCTTTCTGCAGTCTGTCTATGGTTACATGATGACTAATGACATCCTTATCATTATCAGCTCCACTCATAAAGGTAGAGGCAGTGCTATATGGTCTCATCTGCTCTGTAAACTCATATATTGTAGACATTATTCACGAGTGGAAGGCCAAAGGAGCTCCTGGTTGATGGAGCCGCCTACTGAGCCATGCATGACTGCATCAGATCGGCAGCCTGCACTCATGCCCAACAAAGCTTCCAGAAAGTTTTAAAACAGTGCAAAAGGCACTAAGAAAGGAGAACCCTTCCTCAATGTTTCCATCTTCTGTAGGGGAACTGAACTCTGGCAAAATACAAGGTGACAGGTAAAAAACAGATTTATGTTTTTATCCTGCTCTTTTATGATACTGTTTCTAGAACCCTTAGTAGTCTGTCTTTTCTAAGTGTTTAAGAAAAACAAACATACTATGGATATGCACTTATTAAAAACTAACCTGTTGCCTGGCTGGTGTGACTCAGTGGTTGAGCGTCGACCCATGCACCAAGAGGTCGCCGGTTCAATTCTTGGTCAGGGCACATGCCCAGGTTGTGGGCCCAGTCCCCAATGGGGGGCATGTAGGAGGCACCCAATCGATGTTCTCTCTCACTGATGTTTCTTTCTCTCTCTCCCTCTCCCTTCCTCTCTCTCTAAACAATAAAGAAATAAAAACGAAACTGTTTAGTTGCGTGTTTTTGTAGCACAACAGCCAAAGGGTTATTAAATAAATACTTAAATGCTCGACTCCAGAGATCTTAAAATAGAAAAGTTTAATGAAAACTTAAGTAAGTCTACTATATTAATGATCTGAATATAAACAACAGCAACAACTAGAAATTATCAAAACAATAGGAACTAGATACTTTTGTAGGGGAAAAAGAATCTGAATGTATGTGGGATATTAAGAATAAAGAAGTAAAATAATCAAACATGGTTAATTTCAAACCCTTCATTTTAAGACATGTGGGTCCACTTTATAATTGTCTAGTTTCACAAAAGAAATAGATTGCCCAGTTTGTGGCCTGTGTAACTTTGGGTTTGAGGAAACAAAGGAAGAAACTTTCTGTCTATCATTATTTCATCCTCTGCTAGCCTTCTCCTTTGTATATGAATACATCTAACAATGTCTATCATTAAAATCCACATCACAGAGCCCTGGCCAGTTTGGCTCAGCAGTTAGAGCATTAGCCCGTGGACCAGTAAGTTGCCGGTTGGATTCCGGTAAAGGGTATATACCTCGGTTGCGGTTTGTCCCAGGCCCTGGTCGGGTCGTGCAGGAGGCAACCAGTACATGTGTCTCTCACATCGATGTTTCTGTCTCTCTCTCTCTCTCTCTCTCCCCCGTTCCCACTCTGTCTGTTGATAAATAAAAAAATATCCTTGAATGAGGATTTTAAAAAAAGAAAAAAAAAATCTATGGAGTCCAGCTGGTGTGGCTCAGTGGTTGAGCGTTGATCCATGCACCAAGAGGTCACCAGTTCGATTCCCAGTTAGGGCACATGCCCAGGTTGTGGGTCCGATCCCCAGTGGGGGGCATGCAGGAGGCGGCCAATTGATGTTCTCTTTCAACAATGTTTCTATCTCTCTCTCCCTCTCCCTTCCTCTCTCTCTAAAATCAAAAAAGAAAAAAAAATAGTAAAAATAAAAGCTATACAAATACACAGATGGACAGATAAAAATGAGGAGACGGTATAGTTAAGGGTTTGTGCAGAACTAGAAACAAGACAGAACTCCACCTGGGTCAGAGGTATGGGGTTAATTTCTCATGTGAGGCTCAGGTTTCACTTGACGGGTCTTTAATGGTTCACCTAAGTTCGAGTGGAGAAGCATCATTCTTCACTGTTAACCAAACATGCCCAGGTAGAGCTGCTTCTCTTTCCGATGGTAGCTACTGAGTTCCGACTGTGTTAGCTGGAGGTACCGCCGGACATTGGCATCTTAGAAGAGGGCGAGGAAGACAATTAGAGACAGTTAGACTATAATCTCACCTCGGGACAGGAGATTTTTAACGTATTTCCATCTTAAAAAATCATTCTAAGATATGAATATATCACAACTATTCCATGCAACAGTAAATCTCATTAATATTTAGGATTTTTGAAAAAACTCTGTACAGGTCTGGACTGGTTGCTAATTTTATAATAAAAGAGAGTTTGAAGAAATAGTTATTGTCATAGCAAAGTCGCTAAAGATACTATACCCGAATGGCAGTTAATCTATGATCTTGGAGGTAAGCAACATGAATAAGGAGCTCATATTTTATATCTTTATTAATTCACAGTGGCTTTTTCATTCAGTTAGTGAGACTTTACTGTATTGTTATAATGTTTGGGGGCTCTCTACTTCTAGTATCGAGAAGTTGCCCTAAGCCAGAATGCAAAAAGGAAGACAATTTTCAGTGCTGAACTACCAACACAGGAATGAGTCCACCATCCCCATGTGGGGCATCTGCTTCACAATATCCCTTTTACCTTGGAAACAAAGTACCAAGTCTCAGAGTCTCTTTTGGTAGGCCTTTTTCAAGGTCATAACTGAGGTTGGCTGAGCTAAAGAATAAACTAATTAAGCAAAAGCCAGACCCCAGCTGGAGAAATGAGAATTATTAAGTGTATTCATTGGATCCTATTCCAATCACCCATCTAGGAACTGAAACTTGAAAAACAATGCTTTAAAATCTCTTCCACTGCCCTGGCCGGTTTGGCTCAGTGGTTGGAGCGTCAGCCTGTGGACCAGAGAGTCCCAGGTTCAGTTCCCGCTAGGGGCACATACCTAAATAAATAAAATAAAATAAAATAAAATAAAATCTCTTCCACTGAGGGGAGGAGGAGGGATTATACGTGTGTGCCATTTAAGCACAAAGATTTCTGGAGGATATACAATTTTGCTTTCCTGTGGAGACAAGAATATAAGAGTAAAAGGCCTGTTCATTGTCTACTTTTATACTTTTTGAATTTTGAACCAAATGAATATATTATATTTATTCAAAAAATTCAGTGAGTTAAAAAAGTAAAGCAAAACAAAATCCCCTTCCACACCTACCCCTTTAACGGGACAATTTTCTTTGTCCTTCCCACTTCAACCACCTCCTCTCTCACCTTTTGGCTGCCTATTGACAGCAGCCAGGAGGTAGTGCCGAGCTTGGTCATAATCCTGCAGGTGGAAAAAGGCCACTCCGGCCCGATACAAGGCCTTGGCATTATCAGGCTGTCGTTCCAGGACTTTCTGACTGTATTCTTTTACTCGTTCATAGTTTACTGGTTCCATCTGAAGGAGACAGGCTAATGAGGGCCAAATGAAAGAAACAGAGAAGAGGGAAGAGAGCCTTATTACACTAAATTCCACTGGCCAACTCAAGGCAGCACCAAACACAGAATGCTATCAACATTCACTTATCCAACAAATAAATGCAAGTGTATGCCATGTGCCAGACCTTCTTCTAGGCACGGGATGCAACAGTGAATTAAAAGCTTTATATACCTTCAATCTACTCCAATATCTGCCAAATGCCTACTATGAACCTAATGTTGGATTAGGCCCAGCTATAAAACTGATAAGAATATACTTTAAAATTTATTTATTTTTTCCTCACCCAAGGACATTTTTCCATTTTTGTTGTTGTTGTTGTTCAGAAAGAGTGGGAGGGAGAGAGAGAGAGAGAGAAACATCGACGTGAAAGGGACACATCGAGTGGTTGCCTCCCGCACGCCCCAACCAGGGCCGGGGACAAACTGCAACTGAGGTACATGCCCTTATGGGGAACTGAACCCGGGTCTTTCTAGACCACAGGCCGACACTCTAACTGCTGAGCCAAACCGGCCAGGGCTCACTACAAATCTTGTACTGCAGCTTTGGTAACAACCATGGTTGCCATTAATTATGTGAAGCAATTAATGTAAGCACTGTACTGTGTTACTACCTCAATTTAATGGATGAAGAAATCAAAGCTCAGAGAGGTGAAGTAACTTGTCCAAGATCCCCCAGCTTCTACGTGGAATAAGAAATCTGAACCAAGGATTCTCTAACTCCAAAATCATCATCATTCTCAGTATATTATTTCACTAATCCCTTGGATGACTGAATGGCACCTCAAAATACAAATCTGTTTAGGAGGCAAAGATCAGGTCAATCTTCTGCCGTTTTATAGTTAAGAGGGGAAATATTTCCCTATTTCATAATTGTGGGAATTAAATATAGTATTATTACATCACAGTCTAAAAAGAACTGAGAATCAGGGCTGATGAGAACATTAAAGGGCTGATGTTCGCATTCCTTCTAAAACATCCCCACCAAGTGGTCATATGGTTTGTGCTAAGATATTTCCCCAGATTCCTGGTCAATAAACCCATCACTATAGCTTCATTCATTCATTTGACAACCAGTTAGGAAGCACTGACCATGTGCTAGGCAGAGCTAGGAACCCAGGATAAGAGGAACAAGACAAACATCTTAATGAGTAAACAGAGTTTGCATCCTAGTCCCCAAGTAGTAGGAATATACAATAAACAAATAAATGACTTTTTAAAAGTGCTTTGAGCCCTGGCTGGTTTGGCTCAGCGGTTGGAGCGTCGGCCTGTGGACCAGTGTGTCTCGGGTTCGGTTCCCGTTAGGGGCACGTACCAAAAAAAAAAAAAAAGTGCTTTGAGTAAAATAAAACTGTCCTAAGATAGAGTCAATGAAGTCAGAGTGCAGCTTGGGTGCTGAAGGCCTAAAAAAGTGACTTTTGAGCCAAGATCTGAATGACAAAGGTCATTCAAGGCACAGAGCTTTCTAACCTGAGAGAACAGATCCCACAGAGCTGGAAGGTGGAAATGTGCTTTATGAATTCAGTCATGGAGGAGCCAGATCAGGCCCAGCCCGACAGGAATCAGGCCCAGCCTGGGTAAAGGTCAGAATTTGGATTTCCCCCCAAGTATAATGAGATGCCATTGGAGGGTTTTAAGTAGTGACATGTAAAATGGGGATAATTATAACTGCCTTGCAGAATTTTTGCGGAATAAGAGATATTGTAAATAAACTGCTCAATGTGTCATAAGGTGTCAATAAGTGAAAACTGTTAATTTAGTGAGTCTTTTTTTTTTTATTTTCCGTTATTGATATTAGAGAGAGAGGGAGGGAGAAGGAGAGAGAGATAGAAACATCGACTGGCCACCTCCTGCATGTCCCCCACTGGGGATCGGGCCCACAGCCTGGGTATGTGCCCTGACCAGGAATCGAACTAGTGACCTCCTCGTGCCTGGGTCGACGCTCAACCACTGAGCCACACCGGCCGGGCAATTTAGTGAGTCTTTGTGGAGCATCTACCAAGCACCCACAAGTAGAGACTTTACAGATGGCTGAGCCATAGTCTCTGCCTTCAAGTCCACCCGGAGATAAGATATTTACAGGTACCCATGTATACAACCTCTCATTTCCTTAATTTCTAGTCAATTCCCTAACATGTATCTTATTTTCTAACAGGACTTCAAAATATAAATCTGTTTAGGAGACAATGTTGAGGCCAATCTTCTGCCTTTTTATAATTAAACAGGGAAATGTGCAGCCCTGGCCAATTTAGCTCAGTGGTTAGAGTGTCAGCCTGTGGACCAAAGAGTCATGGGTTCAATTTTGGTCAAGGGCATGTACCTGGGTTGTGGTTTGGTCCCAGGCCCTGGAGGGGGTTGTGCGGGAGGCAACCAATCAATGTTTCTTTCTATCTCTCCCTCCCACTCTGTCTGAAAATAAATGAAAAAATGTCCTTGGGTGAGGATTGAAAAAAAAAAAAGGGAAATGTGCAGAGTTCTGCCATAAGAACTTAAGTTGTGGAGTTAAGAATGATTAAGGTTTGCCCTGGCCAGTTTGGCTCAGCGGTTAGAGCGTCAGCCTGCGGTCCGCAGAGACCCGGGTTCGGTTCCCGCTAAGGGCACGTACTTCGGTTGCAGTTTGTCCCCGGCCCTGGTTGGTCGTGCGGGTGGCAGCCACTCGATGTGTCCCTTCACATCGATGTTTCTCTCTCTCTCTCCCTTCCTCTCGCTCCCTCCCACTCTATCTGTACAAAAAATGGAAAAATGTCCTCGGGTGAGGATAAAAAAAAAAAAGAATGATTAAGGTTTAATTTTAGCTCCACCACTTACTAGCTGTTTGACTGTTTTCTTAAATTTACCTCAAAGAATTATGACTCTTAACTAGGTTCATATCTGTAAAGGTCTTAAACAGTGTCTGCCCAGGGCATTTAATAAATGTCACCTCCCTTATCACTCTTTAAAAGTGAACACTCCTGCCCTGGCTGGTTTGGCTCAGCAGTTAGAGCATCAGCCTGCGGTCCGGAGAGACCCAGGTTCGGTTCCCACTAAGGGCACGTACCTTGGTTGCAGTTTGTCCCCAGCCCTGGTTGGGTCGTGTGGGTGGCAACCACTCAATGTGTCCCTTTCACATCGATGTTTCTCTCTCTCTTTCTCTCTCCCTCCCACTCTATCTGAACAAAATATCGAAAAATGTCCTCAGGTGAGGATAAAAAAAAAAGTGAACACTCCCATGCCTGTGCACTCATTATCCCCATTTTCTGCTTTATTTTATTTTATCCTCACCTGAGGACATTTTTTCCATTTTTTTGTTCAGGTAGAGTGGGAGGGAGAGAGAGGAAGAGAGAGAGAGAGAGCGAAACATCGATGTGAAAGGGACACATCGAGTGGCTGCCACCCGCACGACCAACCAGGGCTGGGGACAAACTGTAACCGAGGTACCTGCCCTTAGCGGGAACTGAACCTGGGTCTTTCGGGACAGCAGGCTGATGCGCTAACCGTTGAGCCAAACCGGCCAGGACTGCTTTATTTCTTTCCCATAGTACTTACCACTTCCTAAATATTATATTTGTTACCTTTTTTGTTAATTGTCCATCTCCCTTATTTGAATATATGTTCCATGAGAGCCGGGATCCTCAGCACACAATAAATATTTGTTGAATTGAAACATTAACTAACATAGTTAGTATTTTTGTGACTTGAGTCCAAGAGTACCACTAGACATGCACTGTAAAAAAGCTAGATTTTCACCAAACCATAACTGACGAGTATTGTCGTTTTTTTTTTAATCACTTTTAAACAACCATTATAAAATGTAAAAACTACTCCTAATAATTTCTGTAGTCTCAGCTTGGACTGGTACAATGTTTTAATATACTTCAAAATAATTTAATTAGCTCCATAGTTAGTATGCCTGCCATAGAACAGACCTAAGAAGTCTCCTTTCTTTTAGCAGATTAATCATAGTGATACTAACTCTTAACACCCATCTCTTCACCCAATGCCATCTGGAAATGGAAGATACTAATTATCCAAGTTACTATCCAGCTGATTTATAGGTAGGAGGAAAATGAAGGAAAGCTATCCAAAGCATCTAATATGAATGACTTACACCAGCTGAAGCAAGCACTTTCCTTCTTGTATTTTAAATATTAAAGAAACAATGTAAACTCAGTATTTTTTCCATTGCGTGCAAAATTCCCTAAACCCACCAGCATCACCTAGGAGTCTGTTAGAAAATGCAAATAAAGCCCGGCAGGTGTGGCTTAGTGGTTAAGCGTTGACTTAGGTACCAAGAGGTCACCAGTTTGATTCCCAGTCAGGGCACATGCCCATGTTGTGGGCCAAACCCCCAGTGGGGGGCCATGTAGGAGGCAGCTGGTGGATGTTCTTCCTCATGGATGTTTCTCTCTCTCTCTCCCTCTCCCTTCCTCTCTCAAAATAAATAAAGAAAAAAAAAAAAAAAGAAAATGCAAACAAATAGTAGGAACCACGTCAGAGCCATTAAATTTATATCTCTGGGGGTGGGGCTCAGGAGTTTTGTTTAACAAACTCTCCAGGTTAAGTTTGAGAACTACCGTTCTACAGAAACTCAAGTAGAGCCAAATAAATTGGAAATGTATTTCTCTTTTAAAAAACTTGATAAAGGATTTTCAATTTTTTATTGAATTTAGAGAGAGATCAAGGGAGGCGGGATGTATTTGTTGTTCCACTTATTTATGCATTAATTGGTTGATTCTTACTGGTGCCCTGACAGGATCAAACCTGCAACCTTGGCTTATCAGGCCAACATTAACCAACTGAACTACCCAGCCAGGGGAAATATATTTCAAATCATGGCAGAATAACTAGACGACAGCAGAAAAGTCCGTTAGTGTTTTTCCTAATGTTCAGAATTTCGTGTACCTGCCTGGATAATCCACCCACCCTTGTTCCATGTTCTTACCAGCTAGATTGTTGTAGCAGTCTGTCTGGGTGGTGTGCAGTATGTTTTCTTGTTCAGGTGTGAGAGCCGGGCCCTGAGGTCCTAGATCAGGTATCGGGGAGGGCAGACTTGGATCCAGACCCCGTAGCTGAAGCAGAGCTCGATGGTACCTCCTCACAGCATCTCTGTACTTCCCTTCCCGGTAACTCTGGTTCCCTTTCTCCTTGTACAGCTGAGCCTCCTGCAGGCGCTTTTCCATAATTCTGTCGCCCAGTGGTCTTCCGGAACTGGGAAGTGAAAGAGCAACTGAAGCTCTGGGGTGGGAGCAAAATGACTGATTTTGGTAGGCAATTTCAGGCAGGAAATTACCCTTCTCCAGGAGGCCCTCCAGGCAATGAGCTTTGCTTGTTTCTACTACAACCCCTTCCTTTCTTCTCTGCAGTATTTTTCAATCTCTACTAGTGCAGGAAACTAATCAGTGAGAGGATGTGGGAATAGTAAAGTCAGAGATCAAGCGATTTTTCTAAAGAGGGATTCTTAAGTGAGGAGACCCCGAAAACGCAAAGGACTCACTAAGGAATTGTGGCAGGTGTGCGAACGCCGGCGGAATTTGCTTCCTCCTTTCCTTTGGACACACCTCCCTGACCTGGAAGTGGAAGAAAGTAGGCGGGGATAATTGCTAAGAGAAGTTTAAAGTGCTTGCCCCTATCTCAGCTTTTTATTCGCACGTATTGGAGAAGCATTCGTTGACGTCTGTGCCAGGAGCTGGGAAACAAAGGGATTGTGCACCACAACCCAAAGGCATCGCAGAGCAGCTCAGCTGCAAGTCCTTCAAGTCCCGCGGCCAGCCCCTTGCCCTCTGCCAATGCTCAAGCCCGGAAGTCTCCCTCTGGGTTTCAGATTACGGGTGGGAGCATCCAGAGGACAGGGTCCAGTCTCTTGACAGTTTGGGTCGCGCGCATTACACCGTGCTGCCCAATCAGAAGCAACCCCAGAAAAGTTATCCCGCAGAAACGACCACGCCTTTCCAGCGAACCAACCCAGGAAAAAAAAAAAAATTCCCCTGGCCGCTTCGCCAATTGGAATATTCGGACGATCACGGATAACCAATCAAAATTGCAGAAAACTATTCAAGTTGGCCAATAAAATAGCTAAAGGGCGAAGTCCGGGCATCTGTTGCTAGGTAGAAGTTGAAGGAATGGGGGCGGGGCAAGAGGTTACTGTATTTCTTGGTTTTGGAGAACCCTTTCTTTGGTTTACTAATCAGAAAGACCATTACTAGGAGACTTTCACGTTGCAATAGCTTCCTTTTGGGCTTTTTTTTTTATTCTCAAGAAACTGCTGCATGCATAGACAGTAAGAAAAGACTCTAATGAGCAGGCCCCAAGACTAAAGCGCAATCGGAAGTCAGTTAGGAGTGAGGGTGGTCACGGGGGTGGGAGGGGCGTGTGGGAGGGGAACTCCGGGAGGCTGCGCAATTCCCGGCTGGAAGTACGGAAAGAAGGACGCGCACACGCCTCCATGCTACGAGGCACTTGAGCCGCAGCCAGGCTTTCCCGTCTCCGGCTCCGGTGCGGCTGCGCAGTGAAACCGTCGGCGGCGATTGGCCAGTAGGTGAGAGGGGGAGGGAGGTAAAGTGAGGGAAGTCCGACGTCCTCCGCGCGCGCCCGCCTGCGGCAGGGGAACCGAAGGAGCAGGAAGGGAAATACTTCCCTGCTGCGTTGTTTTGGGCTTCTTGGGCCGAAAAGGGGAGGGGAGCAGAAAGCAGAACCGTAGCAGAGGCTGCGCGCGGCCTTAGCCGCCTTCGTGCGTCCGTGCGTGCGCTCGCTCGCGCGGGCTCAGTGCTGGCGCGTGAAGCGGAGGCGGGCGGCGGCGGCGGCGGCGCCTGCGCGGTCGGGCTCGGTCGTCGGTTCGCAGGGGAGGAGGCAGCGGGAGGCGGAGGAGGCGGCGGCGGCAATGGAGGTGAAGCGGCTGAAAGTGACCGAGCTGCGGTCGGAGCTGCAGCGTCGGGGCCTGGACTCGCGCGGTCTCAAGGTGGATCTAGCGCAGCGGCTGCAGGAGGCGCTGGACGCCGAGATGCTCGAGGACGAGGCCGGTGGTGGCGGGGCCGTGCCTGGCGGGGCCTGCAAGGCGGAGCCTCGGCCTGTGGCCGCGTCGGGCGGCGGCCCGGGCGGGGACGACGAGGAGGACGAAGAGGAGGAGGAGGACGAGGAGGCGCTGCTTGAGGACGAGGACGAAGAGCCACCCCCTGCCCAGGCCTCGGACCAGGCCGCGCAGCCGCCGCCGGAACCCCCGGAGGCGGCAGCCGTGGAGGCCGCGGCCGAGCCCGATGTTTCTGAGAAGCCGGCTGAGGAGGCCATGGCTGAATCAGGTGGAGTAAATGGTGGCGAAGAGCAGGGCACCGGCAAGGGGGAAGAAGACGAGCCGGAGGAGCGGAGCGGAGACGAGACGCCGGGATCCGAGGCGCCGGGTGACAAGGCCGCAGAGGAACAGGGTGAGGTGCTTGCAGCGGAGCCCGGCTCCAACCTGCCGGGTTCGCCCTTGTCTCAAGCACCCAGTCCTGCACCACAAGGTCTGATCCCTTGTTCTCACTTGCCTGAAAGTGCAAGATTCCCATTGCCATTTGATAGGATTCCCCAGGGAAGGTGGCTTTTATTATCTACGCACTTTTCCTAGGAGGTTTGGCGGCCTCTGGGTGGCCCCACTCTCTGCAGGAAGGAGGTTCCTGCCTAACTTGGTTCATTGGTAGTAGTGGATAGAAGTGAGCAGTGTTGCAAGGGAACTGCTTATGAGATACCTGTGGAGCAGCCTCCCACGGTGTTGGTTGTCCTTTTCTAAACCGGGAATGCACTGAGGAATTGGTAAACCCACGGACAGCCAGACCGACTGTTGGAGGCTTTGGCTTTTGAGCTGACTTGATTTTTTGCGCCATAAAAATATTAAAGAACTAAACTAAATTTGTCAAAGGTCGCTCCATCAAAAGCGCAGTGGTATAGCTTGAGCCACACTGAATCTGGCAATCTAACCTTGCTCCTGCGTTAGCAATAGGGGACAGCCTGTGGTGTGACGGTGTCGAGTTTAATAGTTAACTAGTGAAAAGAAAGTCTTATCTAGTGCGTTTAGAATAAGTCAGTTAACAGGCTAGGGGTTTTACCTTGCCTTGTATTATGATTAAAATGTTATCTTCCCACTGAGTTGATGGGTGGGCATATTTATGTATTTGCTCTACACTTAGCTAGCCTTTAATATTTCAGGTCCCTAACTGAATTGAAATGATTGAGGTGTTGGTGGGTCCATGGAGTAACCTTGTGGAAAAGAATGTGTAAAGTTGCCCCAGGGAGTTAGTGACGTGTCTTCCTTTGAAATAATTGGATGGTTAGAGCTGATCCATTAACTATATGTCAGAGTAAGGAGGAAAACTAGAGCTGCTTCCAAGTCTTACTATGAAGTGGGTTGCTTTAGTTCTTTTTATAATACATTGTTTAGGCTGCTACCTAATATCGTGGTATAATTGGAACCCTACCATAGTCACGTGCAAATTGAAGATTGTTTGTCCTGTGTCCCGGAACAAAAATCCCATTACATAACCTTTGACTTAATGTGTAGCCCGAATAGCACATAAAAAAGGTTGAGGAGGGAGGTGGGGGGAGGGGGGAGAGCATAGAGTGGAAAAATGGTGATGGAAAAAAATAAAATAATGAAGGTTGAGGAATAAAGGACTGCCTTAAATTATTATTTAAAAACTTTCTTTGTATTGAAAACTACAAAGGCCTGAGGAAAAACCGGGTTCTTTTTTTCCCTCTAGTAAAAAATGTTGCTAAATATATGACAGCACCTTTCTACCCCCAAATTATGTGCAGTACAGATGCAGTGTTATTTATAGATCTCTTATGAGTTAATGGTTTTGCTCTTGCAACTTTAAGTAAAAACCCATGATAAAAATACAGCTCTGTATCATGCACCTGCATCCACTTGCTATATAACTAAATCCATGGATGGCGTTTTAAACTGGAAAGGCAAACTTTTTTTTAAAAATTGAGGCTTCTGTATCATGAAGCTGTGGGAAAGTGTTGGAAAGTATGTTTTGTATCTAGCTTAACTCCAAATCTGACTATCAAGAATCTAAATTAACCAATAAAGGGTTTTTTTAATGTCATATTGGTGGGGAAAGTTGCAAGTTTGATCTGATTTAAGCAGATAAATTTAGAATGCAAAAATTGTCCAATTTTTATCTACTGCTTGACTGTAAGTAGCCCATAGTGTCCTTTTTAAAAAATTAATAAAATTTCAGCCAATGACAGTAAGATGATATTTGGAAATAAAAGGTTCTGTGGATGTAGAGGGATTAACTTGGCTATTCTGATGAGACAGATACTCAGACCCCCCTTTAGTTTCTGTTGGTTCTGAGCTTATTCTACACTCCAGTATGAAAACTGCTGATTTTCTTTCCCTCCTTTTTGTAGGAGATGACCAAGATAGTGAAAAGTCAAAACCAGCAGGCTCAGATGGTGAGCGGCGGGGGGTAAAGAGACAGCGGGATGAGAAGGATGAACATGGCCGAGCTTACTATGAATTCCGAGAGGAGGCTTACCACAGCCGGTGAGGGAAACAGTCCCTTTCTTTGAAGGGAGTGTCTGCTCTGATTTTGGTATACCTGGTGATGATTGGAGAGTCTGGAAAGGGGTGGATTAAAAGTGGAATAGGTTTTTATAGGCATAAGTTTTAGATTGAATCTACTCAAAGCTGTTGCCCTTTTCTCATTTACTGAAAGAAGCAGTCTGCTGGAATTTTATATTCACTGATAGTTTAAAAAAGACATGATGTCTGCAAGAAGAAGGAAGGCTTTGGTTACATTGTATTTGCTTTTGTCTTATATGTATAGCTCAAAGTCTCCACCACCCCCCGAAGAAGAGACAAAAGATGAGGAGGAAGATCAGACTCTTGTGAACCTGGACACGTGTATGTATAAGGCAGACAGGTTGGGGTTTTAACCAATCAGAAGTGATTTTGGAGATTAAAACTCCATGGCCTGCAACTTTTAAGAGATTTAGCACATGAGAGATTTTGAATTCATTCTTGACAACTGAGTATAGTTGTGTTGGTGGCTTTCGAGTGTTGGGCATTGGCATAAACAGATTGCTTCTTTCTTAACAGATACCTCGGATCTCCATTTTCAAGTAAGCAAAGACCGCTATGGAGGTCAGCCACTTTTCTCGGAGAAGTTCCCCACCCTGTGGTCTGGGGCAAGGAGTACTTATGGAGTGACAAAGGGAAGAGTCTGCTTTGAGGCCAAGGTAGTATGTTCAGCTCATTAAAGACCATTCATTCATTAAATTACTGTGTACTAGACTCCTTTCCACCAGTATTTTATTAGTGCAGAAAAAGCAGCACACTTGAACAATAACCTTAGCTCCAATAATAAAGAAATTGACCCCTCCCAGGGCTTTGGTTTAAATTCATTGATAGTTATTATTCTAATGTTGAGTTGTGATAGTTGTCATTTTCAGTTTGTATAAAAAATTTTGTCTTGCCTTGGCCAGGTGGCTCAGTTGGTTGGAGCATCGTCCCATACCATAAGGATTGTGTATTCAATCCTGGTCAGGGCACGTACT